TATATATATATATATGATAGAGCTCTTTTATGGAAGGACATAATGCTTATTAAAAAGTAATTGAATTGTCCTTGGCTTGTTGGTGGGGATTTTAATGATATTTTTTTTTGTAAATGAAAAGAAAAATGGTAGGATCCGTAATTATAAAACAATGGAGAATTTTAGGAATAAATGGCCACAGCTGAGTCACATGAGGTAAATTTTATTTGATTCTGTTTCACTTGCAATAGAGGAAAACATTATGAAAGATTGGACGGAATTTAAAAAAATAATGAATTGTTTGATAGTTTCCATTTTTCTGAGGTAACTCACCTCATCAGAACTGGTTTTGATCATTCCCTACTCCATATTAGGTTGGAGTGATTGTCCAAGCCAATGTCTAAACCTTTTAGATTCCTTAATGTGTGGGTCTCCCACCCAAATTTCTTGGACATTATTAAGGACACTTGATAAACTGGTAATCATAGTAATCCTTGGACACTTGATTAACTGGTAATCATAGTAATCCTTAGCTCTCTTTATAGCTCTCTCATAAAAAGAAGGCAACCAAGCTCAAAAATTGGAATTGGGATGTGTTTGGTGATGTTTTCAAAGCTGTCGTGACAACATGTTATCAGTATTGAAAGCAAGGTTGAAGATGGCATAATGTTGGAGGAAGATTTAATCAGGGCTAAAAATAACTTAGAGGTAAATCTTCAAAGAGAAATTGACTTTCTAAAAAAAAGTCCTCCTGTTTATGAAACTTTGAAGTTGATACAAACACAAAGTTTTTACTTGTTGGCATAAAATATAAAAGGTAAGATAATGATATCACCAGAATAAAAAATGAAAGGATAATTGGTTGCATTCTAAAACTGATATCATCCAATGTGACATTGAATATTTTAGTAATCTGTAAAGGGAAGGTGACTTAAATAGAGCTCACATTGGTAGAGATATTTTCCCTCATAACACTAATGTTGTTAATTCCACTATGTTATGCACCATTCCTCAGGGTGTGGAAGACTTGCATACTCTTTAATCCATTGAAAAAAAGTAAATTGGTAGGTCCTAATGGATTCAGTTATGCTTTCTATATGCATGGTTGGGATATTGTTAAAAAGGATATGGTGGCTTCCATACGAAGTTTTTTTAAAGGTGAAATCTTGCATAATTTTTTTAGATGCTCTATTATTGTTCTCATTCTAAAGACAATCTTAGGTAAATATGGAAATATTATAGGCCTATTAGCCTTACTATTGTAATTTCCAAAAATCTTAAGCAAAATTATGGTGAAAAGGGTTCCTACCTTTGCTTGATTTGGTTTGCCCATAGTAGACATCCTTCATTCCTAAGAGGAGTATAAATGATACAATTATGTTCCCTCAGAAAAAACTTATTAGCACTGGTTCTAATTATAGAGGGGAAATTACATTACTAAACATGATATAAGGAAACAATTTGATAACATTAATTGGAATTTTTTTTATTGTAGTGTTCAAGTATAAAAGGCTAAGTTAAGAGTTTAGTTATATCATTAAAATGATTCTTGATACCTTTTCATAAATGGTTCTACTCATAAACACTTCAAATCCTAGAGGGGTCTTAAATAGTAATATGTAAAGGGAAGGTGACTTAAATAGAGATCACATTGGCGGAGATATTTTCCCTCATAACACTAATGCTGTTAATTCCGCTATGTTATGCACCATTCCTCAGGGTGTGGAAGACTTGCATACTCTTTAATCCATTCAAAAAAAGTAAATTGGTAGGTCCTGATGGATTCAGTTCTGCTTTCTATATGTATGGTTGGGATATTGTTAAAAAGGATATGGTGGCTGCTATACGAAAGTTTTTTTAAAGGTGAAATCTTGTATAATTTTTTTAGATGCTCTATTATTGTTCTCATTCCTAAAGACAATCTCAGGTAGAGATGGAACATAAAATACTTATTAGTACTGGTTCTAATTATAAAGGGGAAATTACATTATTAAACATGATATAATGAAACAATTTGATAGCATTAATTGGAATTTTTTTATTGTAGTGCTCAGGTATAAAAGTCTAAGTGAAGAGTTTAGTTATATCATTAAAATGATTCTTGATACATTTTCATAAATGGTTCTACTCATAGACAGTTCAAATCCTAGAGGGGTCTTAAACCCAGGGATCCACTGTCACCTATTTTATTTATAATTGCTTTAGATTATCTCCCTATGAAGCTTAATTTTCTCATGAGTAATCATCAAGATTTTAGATTCCATGTCAACGACACTGATCTGGTTACTCATCTTGCTTTTGTTGATGACATTATTTTTTCTATAACATGAGCAAGAAGAATATTAAGCATATTACCTCTACTCTTAATCATTTTGAGCGGGTCTCTTATATGAATTTCAGCAAAAACAACAGTGAAAATTTTTTCAGCAAGTACATACCTATTGAAGAAAGCATTGAATCCTTTAACATATAGGTTTCAATTAGAGCAACTTCCCTCTTAAATACTTAGGTGAAAATTTAAACAAAAATCATAAGGAGAAGATGATGTTTTACTTAAGATTATTTAAAGAATTCAAAATTTGGAAATTCTATGGTGTCCTTTGGTGGTAGGCTTTCCTTGCTACATAATGTGCTTAATTCTTTTAATATGTATTTGTTACAAATTACAAAAATGACAAAAAGAATGCAAATTAAGATTGAAAAAACCTTCAGTATATTTCTATGGGTTGGTCACGGAAGTGGCATTTATTGGACTACTTGGAACAAACTTTGTAAACCTAAAATTAATGGTGGGTTGGGGATCAAGTCTTTTAACCAATCCAGGAAAATTAATTTTTGCAAGCTTTAGGTAAATTTCAAAAAAAAAAAAAAAAAGAGTTTATGGGCCCAATGCATGCATAAAAAATATGGCAAGTTGGTCCATCCTTTTTATGTTCCCCTAAACCAGGCGATTCCATCATATGGAAGGAAATGCTAAAGGTGAGAGAATAGTTGAAATCATTGTGGCTTGGGATCTTAGGAATGGTGATATTGTGTTTTGTCTTAATGAATGGTATACTTTGAGTTCTTTAAAGGTTTCCTGAATTGGTCTTACTAATACTAAATAATTTGTT